TTTTATTAATTACTATTTATTTAACTAATTGCTACTTTTTAGTCTTCCTTAAATGTGATTTTATATTATTTTATTTTCTTCACTTTCGGCTTCTCTCATTGTTTGATGAATTAAAGATATTAGACAATACTCAAGTTATATCATTAAGAGGAAATTGATATAAAGGTGTGGGTGATGCTCTAAATTGGGTAGAGAAAGAAGCATAAGCGTAAATGAATAGTTATTCTATCATCCTTTTATCGGAGAACATTGATATATATATATATATATGAGAATTGCAAAGATGCATTTATCAATTGCTTTTAATTTTCACTTTATTTTGAATAGTTAATATTTGAAAGCAAATACTATTTTTTACTTATATAGGAAATAATGTTCATAAAAATTTCCATCCAGTCATGGGTATTTTCTAGTTATTTATATGATAAAAAGTGTGAGATTTACATTAACCATCAAAGTTTAAAATATCACCTCCTTTTTTTTTTTTGTAAATAAGTGAATCAAGTGTGAGTGTTCATTCTCTCTAATAAACTTTTATGATTTTAGCATCTTTCTATCTCATGTACATGGTTAATGTTTTTATTTTGGAGATCATTAAAAAACATAATTTACATTCATCCTTAAATTACAATATTAATTCCTAAAAAGTCTCCTATGTTTTTTTTATATAAATGTATTTTTTACATTATCATAATTAAACCCACATATTGAAGCTGAAATAAAATATTATTTACAGACTTTGCTTTTGTTTCCTAGATCAGTTGGGTGAAGGCCAGCACAACAGTACATACGTTCTGTGGACTTGCACTGATACTCTCAATCCACCCAGAGGAGAGGAGTGAACATTCAAGAGTCCACGTTTTTTTAGAATTGAAAGTTGCTTACAACTGAAAATGTAGTTAGCAAAAGGTAGGTATATATGCATCATAAACAGTAATTCGCCCTATTATTTGTAAATTGTTTTGTTTCAGGTTAACCAAATGGAAGGTTACTATGGATAACGTAATTGACTCTATTTTTTGTTTCTTGGAATAAGTTCATTGAATTGCATTTCTCCCCCTTTTTTTTACCAGCAAAAAAAATTATATTTCTGCAGGGACAAGGGGTACCCAAATCTGTTTAAAACCCATATAGCATTTTAATCAAATTGTTTTAACATCGCCAGTACATATAATATCTGCGTTTCTAAGGCTTGCTTTGGGTTATATTTCCAAACTTTGATCGATAATTTGAGCATGCTTTTGGCTCTCAACCAAAAATAGAATCCGTATTTGACAAGCTCAATTATTTCTTCTTCTTTGTCATGCTGTGTTCCAAAAATGTGTTGATTTCTCCTAGTCCATATTGTCCAGACAGTAGCTTACCTCACCACCATCCACGCAAGTCTGAATTTCGTGCTGGTATACTAGCTAGTCCTTCATGCTGCATGACATTTGTAATACTTTGTTATACAATTAATTAAAAGGTGCTTATTGATAAAGTATGTTTAAATGAAATCTTTAATATATATAAAGGACCTTGTCAAAATGGATTAATCATTGAAGAGGTAGAAACAGGGAAACAAGATGGCAATAATAGTTAACCTTGCGATGAAGACAAGTCCCCTTGACTTAAGAATGATATCATTTTTCAATATTCATTATGGAGGCTTTGGCTGAGACAATATATAGATGAACAGAGAAGGTTGCTGATCTCCTCTTACCGTATTTGATTTAGGTGCTTAACTGCTGATTCCATAATGAAGTTCAACTTGTTAATAGCTAAACAACCTAATCAAATTTATTTTAATCAGCTAGTCAATAGAAAATAGTGAGTTGAAGTAATCTTCAGCATACAATTTAGATCTATCTCTCTTTTGTTGCTCCTTACAAGCCCAGGCCACCCCCACATAAGAGATGCATTCAAGCAAATTTTGAGCAGTATGCTTGCATGAAGTAGATGGTTTATCTCAAATAATATGAAGTAGGAGGCTGTTGTGCAAAGGGGATGCAGGGTGAATTGACAAATTAAGCAATTGCTTACTATTTGCTAAACAACCAAATCAAAATTTTCTTAATAGAAATTGTGAATTTCATAGAGGTCGGGTGGAAGTTCCTTGTACAACCTGGTGAGAGTGTTCTATACCAACTCCTGTTTCTAAACACGCCCTGAACATATCGTTTCCTTTTTCAGCAAAAAAAACATATTTTTAACCTACCCCAAATGTCCAATATCAAAAAATGATGGGTCTTGTTGTCAACAGCACCAGCATTGAATTAAGATCTCTCATTTTGTTTTGTTGCTTTTGCCCCTCAAGCCCAGGCCACCAGTCACTTTGTGATATTTGCAACTCTCCAACTTGCTCAGCTTCCCAAACTGATTTTCATAGTCTTCCAACAGCTCCAGCCTTCAAGTCAAATTGCAAAAAGAAAAAAAAAAGGGTTAGTCTTTCCATTTTCTTAAAATGTCCCAAAATTGATAGTAATTCCTTTCTTAATTAATTGTAATTACCAATATGCCAAACACTGGTAAGGTGCATAGTTTCCATAAATTTGCTCCACATCCTTTTCAACTGTTCCTTTGCAGCATCCTTCCCTATCATGTACTTTCTTCAAGTGTCTTATGGTTTCGGTATCCGCTGGAACCTTCTGATAAAATCTGATGCACATGAGTACATTGGAACATGCAAAAGGACCAAACCCATTGATCTTCATCATTTGTCTGAACACTTGCTCATGACAAGTTGCTTCTTCAAATTCCTCCAGCCTAAGTTTTCCGCTGTCCACATTTCTAGCTAATTCAATCACATAATTTGCCCTGTATCCGAGATTGCAATGCCTTTTCAGGAAACCCTCATCAAGCCTAGCCAGCTCTTTTGCATTTGGAAAATTCCCCATGCGTGGCTCACTTCGCTTCCTTTTGCCTCGTTTCTTAGTTTTGCATGTTAGTTTTGCTTGAAGTTGGCAGAGTGTACGAGCCATGTGCAATGTCCTATCCCACCTACATTACACATACAAGAACATATATTATCTGTTGTGGGAATTCAAAAAAACTGAGGCAATTATTAACCCATTAATTCGAATACTCAAATCAAGATACAAGAATATGTATATGTAATGTAATGTACGTGCAGTTACAGAGGAGGATAGACTTAATAGCGTCTTCAAAGATGGAAGGCGACCGGAAAATTCTACCAAAACCTCTGTTCTTAGCAGAGGCATGGACTTCGTGAAATTCCCTCACATGTCTCTCGTCTTTCTGTGATATCCTAAGCATCCTCGCAACCTGTTCCAGTATAGATTGTTGGTCAGGGGAGGAGAGATTTTGGTCTACTTTAATGAGGAGAAAGGGGAAGTTGGGAGGGTGGGAGATGGTAACGGTTGCAGAATCGATGGAGTTGGAGAGGCGGAGAGGACGTGTGAGAGATTTGGTGGAAGGAATCCAGACATTGGGAGACATCATGAAAAACCCATGATTGCACACTGCTTCCTCCATGTTGAAGCTTGAGAAGCACTTGCCTAACGGTAGTCTCAAACTCATGGCATGCGTACCAAAATCCATATTGAAGCTAAACAAACAAACAGAGGGAATGTTGGAACCCTGTTCTGTGCATATAGACTGCTGACATTGAATTCACCTAGGAAAGAGGAACAGACTTACTATTTTTCATTGAGAAGAAATCACCACTAGTGTTAAATCTCCGAATTTCGAAAGCACTTCATTTATTGGATGAAGAAAGCATTTCCCTCCAAAAAGTTGTGGGGGTGGTAATTTATTTAAGAGTCTCAATTTTTTTTATTTAAATTTTATTAAATTATAAAATAAAATTTTAAATAAATTAATATTTAAAAACTCACTCTTCATTCAAAGAATAAATTAGTGTAGACTTGACAAAATCCAAATTGTTTTAAATATTTCTCTTTACGTTTGCAAGGACATTAGTAATAGATAATTTAATGGAAAAAAATCTGAAAAATTGACATTTCACTTATCTCTCGAGTAATTATTCAGAGTAATTTAATTACAAAATGTTTGCATAACCTTAGCAAGTGGAGGGTTAGCGGATTGTTCATCGTAGAATGTGGCGGTGTTAATTTTCACTTTTGTTAATTTTCACTTTTCCCTCCAAAACCCAAAACCCAAAATCAAGTATGATTTTAGAAATAGTAATCAGTAGGTTGATTGATTTGATTGATAGAATGGAAACTCTTGAGTTTCCAGAGGAGAAAACGTCCCTTCCTGGCTCCCTCTTTTCTTTCTTTTCTTCACTTTTGCCCTCTCTCGTCCAGTCTCA